AGTGGGGCAAGGTCACGACATGACGGACTCCCCAACGGTCCATGAAGTCCCGGAACTCGTGGCTGGTGAACTGGGGTCCTCCATCAGTCCTGAGGCGGAGGGGAACACCAACTTCTCTGAAGTAATGCCTGAAGTTCCGGATGGTAGCAGTAGCCGTTGTATCACTACCACAGGGGACGACAACAGGCCATCCAGACAGTCGGTCGGCAATGACGAGGAAGGACTTCCCTGCAACTGCAAAGAAATCGGCCGACACAGACTCGAAGGGTCTTGAAGGGTTGTCGTCGCACATTAAAGGTTCCTGTTGCTGGCTAGGTTGCAGAGTCTGGCACGGTTCACAGGCACGGACGGTACTTGCAATGTCCGCGTCGATTCCGGGCCAAAATACAGTCTGCTTCGCCCGTCGCTTGGTGGCCTCCACTCCTCGATGGCTGTCGTGAAGGCGGGTCAAGGTACGGCGGCGTAGGGCAGCAGGAATGACTACTCGTGGACCATACAAGACGAGGTCTCCGTCACAATAGAGGTCCTCGCGTATTTTCCAGTACGGGAGTAGCAATTCATGAAGGTCGTATCGGTTAGATGGAAATCCCTGAGACACACAGTCGACGAGCCGGATGTAGGAAGGGTCGGCCCGGGCTGCGGTGCGGAGATCTTCAAGGGTCTTGTCTGCATCCGGTGCTGTAGACTCTTCTGATGTGAAGACGGCCTTCAATGAAACCACTGACTTGAGGGATGCAGCAGCTGTAGAACACAACATCTCGTCCTCTGGGGTGGGGCGACTGACAGGGGCGCGGGACAGGGCATCCGGGATGCACAACAGCTTACCCGCACGCCACACAGCCGTGAAGAGATAAGGCGAGAGCTTCTCTTTCAGACGTTGAAGGCGAGGATTCTCTACTGCATCCAAAGAGTAGTGATTGATTATAGGTATAAGGGGGCGATGATCCGTGAAGAGGGTGAAGTGCTGAAGTCCTATCAGGTAGAAGCGGCACTTCGCCATCGCCCAGACAACAGCCAACATCTCCAGCTCAATCGTGGCATATCGGGTCTCAGCGTCGGTCAGGAACCGGGATCCACACTGAATTAAGCGGAGTTGTCCACCGCCATGGTCCTGCAGAAGGGCGTAACCAACGCCGTAGAGTCTGGAGGCGTCAGTCTGGAGGACGGTGGGTAGGGCTGGGTCGTAACAGGCGAGGACAGGTGGACTTAAGAGGGCCTGCTTGACTCGCTGGAAGGCCTCTTGATGATCTGGGGTCCACAGGAATGTCCTCCTGGGGCTCAGCAGGGGGCGTAACGGCTGGGCTGCGGCGGAGATGTCAGGTGTAAATTCAGCCAGCTGATTGACCAGACCCAAAAAAGAACGGAGGTCTGTCAGGTTGGCAGGGGTTGGAAAATCCCTGATTCCACTTACTTTCTCCGGGTCAGCTGCGATGCCTGATGCTGAGAGAGTGTACCCACAGAAGTTCACTGATGGAGCGGCGACTACAAATTTGTCAGCGTTGAGGGTAATCCCGTACTTCCGACATCTGGTGAGAACTTCGTATATCCGGGAGAGGTGGGCACAGTAGTCTTCGTCGTGGAGTAAGATATCATCAACCACCTTGACACAATTCGTGACTCCTTGAAGGGCCGCGTCACCACGTTGACAGAATGCGTCGCCCGTAGCGGCAAATCCCATGGGGCCTCTGCAATACTGGTATCTTCCAAATGGTGTGATGAATGTGGTCAAATGCTGGTCTTCCTCGGCCAACTCGATCTGCCAATAACCACATAAGGCGTCCATAGTTGTAAAAAACTTCGCCTTCGGGTCCACACTTCGAACAGCTGCGAAGGGTGTGGGTGAAGGGTGGGCTGGACGGGAAACTTGCTGGTTAAGTTTTGACAGATCGGTGGTGATCCGTACTCCACCACGAGGTTTGGCGACGGGGACGAGAGGGTGGCACCAAGGTGAAGGTTCGTCTCCGGCCGGTTTGATGATTCCCTGAGCAACCATGGAGTCAAGCTCTTGTCTAACTAGCTCCTTGTAGGCGTGAGGAATCAAACGAGGGGTGTGGATGGCAAAAGGTGTAGCACCATCCTTAAGATGAATCTTCATAGGTGGACCCACCATCGGCTTGAGTGGTGTGGATCCTAAAGATTTCTTATTAACCAACACGTCAGCAAACTCCTTGAGAAGGTAAGCTCTTGCGTCAGAAGGGGACGTGATTAGTAGAGATAGGGAATTCCTTCAACCTGTTGACATGGGTGACCTTTAAGATAGGTTTAGGGAATTCCTTGGAAATAATGGCCAACTCTTGACAATGGCCATATGATAAGAGCGGAGTCGGGATACCATTATGAACATCAATTCGGGCTGAGCAAGACTGCTTACCAAAGGTAAGGGTAGCCCAGAAAGATCCCAAAGCTGGAGCCATCTTGGAACCATCAGCTGTCAGTTTCGTTGTCTGAGGAGGGGGCTGTAGGTTGCTCCGGGGTATTCCCAAACTTGCTAAGTGTTGTGGACCAATTACTGAGACATCAGCACCGGTGTCAGGTAACATCTGAAGACTGGATGACAAGTTACCGTAAGAAATGACGACATTGATGTGCTGGGGCGTCGTGTCTGTGGAACTATGTACACGACGGCAGGAACGACTGGACACAGCGTCTTGATGCTTGCCAGAAGGAGGGGGCGCGCCAGCACTACCTGAGGATGACGTCTTGGATCCTAGGTGGCGTCCTTTATGTGTCTTCTTACGACAACATTTGTCATAATGGCCCACACGACCACAAAGTCTGCACTGAACTTTGCTAGCAGGGCACTTGACTGTATAAGCCCAGTGACCCTGGCGGTCGCAACTTCTGCACACGCTTTGAGCAGCTGGGCACTGGGAGGCATTATGCTGTCTCGCACAGCTGTTACACAAAGCTGCTGCTGAAGGTGTAGCTGGAGGGTGAGGGGTGGGGTTACTTTGCTGCTTCTTACCCTTTCTGTAGGAAGACACCGCCCTCACCTGGTCAGGCTGTGAGCGTAAAGCTGAAGTCGCACACCTGGCGGCCTCGTACGCTCGACATTTCGTAACAACATCTTGAAGGGAGGAAGTGGGGTCGAGGGAAATGAGACGCTGAACTACCTCTTCATCTCGGACACCAGTTAAAATGATTGTCTTAAGTTGTGTCTCTTCACAGACTTGAGAATGTCCGGGACAATCATCAACTTCCTCTGAACATCTTTTGAGCCTTACAAAAAATGCGTCAACAGATTCTCCATCAAGCTGTTTACATTGGAGGAGTTCTCTTCTCCTGAGTGCTTCGTTGCGCTGTCCCTTAACGTGTTCCTGCAACTTGTCGAGCACGGCCTCTACCGTCAGAGTTGTCGTAGGAGGCACTTGAAGTGTGTGCTCGAGAGTACGTTGTGTCTCTAAGGACAAGCACATACGAAGCTGTATCATTTGTTTCGGCTGTGATAAACTTGACAAGTCAACCATTGTTGCGTAGTCTTGCCAACGTCGACGCCATTCCCGAAACATCTGATAAGAAGCGTCAGACATCAGAGAGGGAGGCGTCTGTACTGCAGCCTTTTGAGGTGGTGGTGATCCGACTCTGGGAAATGAGGTACCAGTACCTCTAGTCGCATCAACATTAGGAGTAGCAGACGAATCTTGTACGGTAGATCGTTGTGGGGAGGCTAACAGAGAAATCAAAACTTCAAATCTGGCTTGATCCTCCTTTCTTCTAAGGTCATCCTCACGTCTACGTATGTCTTCGAGTTCTCTGCGTGTTTGTTCCTCTTTGTGGCGTCGTCTTTCAGACTCTTTGTACCGAATTTCTTCCTCTTCTCTCCTTGCAATATCGTCCCGGCGTCGAGAAGTTTCCATCCACTTTATCAGTTGAAGGAGATCTGTGGACGCATGCATCGCAGGAGAGCTGGCTCGCGACGAGCGAGGAGATTCTGTGGGTGACTGGGCATTGTCACTGTGGGGAGCGTGGGGCGTAAGCTTGGGTGGGGAGAGGTCTCCCACACTGGCGCGTAGCCCCATCGGTCAGTGCAGAAGTCTGCAGTATTAAGTCAAAAGAAAATAAGGTGAATGCGTGTGTGTGTGTGTGTGTGTGTGTGTGTCTGGCGGGAGGGGAGAGACTTGGCGCGCTGCCAGACGTAGGAGCGGGTGGGCCGCGTCGCGCTAGCTCCTCAGTCACCCTCAGACCAGAGACGGGAGAGCACGTACTGTCGGGCCGCTCCCTTAGTCATCTGACCGCAACTTGCACAGACAATTATGATTAAAATACACAGCACAGCACTTCACAAAACACTTCACTTCACAGCACAGCACTGTACACAGCATAGCACTTCACAACACTGTAAGTCTAGAGGCTTGTAGTAGTCTTGCTGTCTGAAGCTGAAGTCACTGAAGACGAGACGCCATTAACTGAGTCCGGGGGAAAGGCTTGGTCCACTGTATCTCACTGAGAAATAATCACTGCGCCATCTGGCGTGTTGCCAGGGATACCCAAAGAATGTTCTATACTTCTGAGGGTATACACAAACACTTGTTGTCTTAAAAGTAGGTTCTATTCTCGTACGGGAGATATATACAAACAGTAGGACGCAGAAGCCCGCGGTCACACGCCACGAGGACTCTGTCTTCTCTCTCTACATCTATCTATGTATTACTACGCGCTGGCCTGTACAAATGCCAGCATTCACAAGCTGAATACATAAAGTGTTTTTTCCCTGCCCCCTAGTGCACAATAAATGGAATATTACATAGAATTAATACATGTTCTGCAATACTTTACTATACATAATTAATAAGAGTAATATAAGAGTAATATAATAATATACAGCTGAAGGTACTACTTTGTGTCCATATAACCTGCTTGCTACCCATCTTAAATGAAAAATTATAGATTTAAAAACCATAAGTGTAAAACAATAACAATCAAGTACCTCTCTCTGTGCCAGTGTCTATCACAAGTACCATTACCTGTGTATGTAAAGAGGGATGTACAAAAATTCATCAAGTACTTACAATTTATTCTACTTGCACAACTACATACAGTTTATAAGACATGATAAAGAAATAAATACATCTCATTTTGTTAACAAATGTTAAACTTACTTACTTATACTGTCTCTGTAACTCCTTTCAGTAAAATACAGCAGTGAAAAAAGTATAGAAGCACTCTGTATGTCTTCTGGATGTTTGTGAAGGTTCCTACTCATACCTTACAGTTAAATGATAGGTAGTTGAAGTCCATGTAATAGGTAGTTAAGTCCATGATTTTTTTAAATACACATGGTTTACAGGCCCTTAGTATAAAAATTTGGCAAACACGTTACACCATTTATACCTTACAAACATTCTGGAAAAATATAAGACAAATCATCTCTATTTCCCTTAGGAAAATAAAAATTATGGATATCCTCATAGACCTTAATTGATAGCTGTCTATATATACAAGCAATAACCACGACTGTACTCTGCAATCCTGAGTACAAACAATACAATGGGCAATCAATGTTTCATTCTGCAATGCAGTACAATACAGTACTAAGTTGTAGTTAACCTAGAAAAGTCAAGAGAATAAAAAATATTGATGTTTATTTAGTTATTTTGAACACAAAAGTAAAATGATTAACGAATAGAGAGAAGAACTGTTAAGAGTAAGGTTATGTCCTAAGTCTCACAGATGCATTTAATAACTTGAGATGTAACCTATGAGAGCAGAGTGGAACAATTTACCAGATGACAAATACAAACCTATGTTCTCAAATATTTGCTTTTCTTAATGCTTTTGATTTCATGTTGATAATTTCTCCAAGTACTTCTGATGTTATGACAAGTCTAGTAAACCAGGCAATAAAATCTCATACCACTGCTCACGTCAACATCTGATTAAGTTATTTACCACCAGAAAGAAAGATCATTTACTCTTGGAGTCTTTGATTTTCAGTATGTGACCACTTGGTATTAAGGAACACGATGCTAACTGCTGCACACCCAAACATGCCAAATTCAATCTGGTTCTTCAATTTGTATATGGAGTGTGTTACCCCTGCAAGAGGGTGTTCACAATGGTCAAGTACAATACCTAAATAACAAACAGAATTAGATGTGCATGAATGTACAATAATCTGCAAGTTGAAACTCATGAAACTAAAGGTGCTTCTATATACTGTCAATTTCTACAACTTCTCATACAGATGACATGACATTGAAAGACTAATACAGCCAATTTTAAGATGTAGAAAACCTGATGATGAATGCAGAATAGGATATTAAACTGTAATGACAATACTTTTCATCAAGAAGGCACAAGCCTAAGGATTGGGACATCTAGCTGTATATGGTTTAAAGAACACAAATAAAATAACTGCCAGACAAAATAATGCTTTTTGCAGCTTGATGTTCCAGGATTCTGACAAGTAAGAAACAAGAACAGATTTAATGCTATAAGACTGATGATGAAACTGAAATCAATTGTTACGTCTTTACTGGATGATACTTCTCAGACAAGAAGGGTTTAATTCAGGGACTTGACATTACAAAGTCACAAGCTGTGCACTCTTTAATGAACAACACCCCAATTACTACTTTACAGCAGTTTGACCCCATCTCAAGGACTGAGTTTGAGAAAATTAAATAAATTGTGCTTAGGGATGGAAATAAATACTGGTAGACAAACAGGTCGGCATAAACTCTTGTTGAGGCCACCTGACATAGTGAAAGACCACATAAATGATAAAAACCAAGACTGACATATCACAAAATACTGTAGTCTCTCTGCCAGCTTATTTACATATAAATTCTGTTCTTTGTCCAGAACTATGAAGGGTCAACCATTTCTATGGGATACTTAAATCCACCTTCAAACCACAGATGTTAAATGTTTCAGAGTTGATTACATGTCAAGCATTAGCTATTGAGTAAGACAATATTTTCAAGATGCCTAAATGGAAGGGACTGTATGAAACACTGCTTAACAAAAGGTGTTTTTCTTTTTCTTTTTGGTAAATGTAGCTACTCAATTACCTGGACTGAGATGTCTACATTTACCAACAAATAAATTACACAGAACTTCATATACCAAACATCATTACATTAACAAGGAAATGACCATATGCATTAACTTTTTGTTATGGATGAAGCAATAAGTTAGCATTTGATCAACGGATAAAAAACTGTAGAAGAGACTTGACGGCATATGTTGGGAGCTTCAAGCCAAATGACATTTTTTTCTGAAAGTAGCTCATAAGACATAAAATGGTGGTTGCCTTAATGCTTGTTATTACAGCCACCTAGTAACTTATTATAATTATTTAAGTCTCAATTAAAGCTTTGGATTGAAGGTGGAAAGATCAGGCCAGTCCCAGGTCTTAGGAAGAGCAGAATGATTATCGTAGAAATAGTTATACTGCTGGTCAGTTATGAACTTGGCCATGTCTTTTGGTTCTGGGTAGGTTGATGCAATACCTGAAAAGGAAAGTAAAATTAATATTAGAGTATAGTAATGATAAAAGAAAGTGTCAGCTGTGCACCTCATATATCAAAAGTATTCACAATAGTTGAGAGATGCAAAAATAAATACATTATGTACAATGTGTATATACATGCAGTCTATTCAATTGTCAACAGATTATAATTTTCTTACCACTTTACTAATATAGCATAATATATTGAAGTTTATGTGGATTTATTATAAATATTATTATTTTTTTGGGGGGTAATTACTGGTAAAAAAAGTTAATATCAAGGAGCTGCACTGTGAGCAAAACCTCTTGTGAAGGTCTAGCAGTCAAGACAAAACATAGACACAAAACACATTTTCTAGAGGTGTAGTTTATATGGTGACTAAGTCAGACAAGTACCAACTAGTTTGGTATCTTCGTTACTCAGAAAACACTTTACACAATGGTTTTAACCAGTTCCAACCACGATGTCTGCTCCCATGTTAAAGAGAATATGAATGGTATGCCTGTCTTCACACCACCATTTTTTGCAGAGAAGTTTTGTATTAACAGTGCCAATTTAATAATATGAGTATACAGTGCAGATTGATGGAAAGACTGATAACAACCTGTACCTGGGAAGCAGGTATTTTATTTCAGGCAGTAACAAACAAAGCACAGACCTGATGGCTAGTTTGTCACTCTTGACTGTTTTAACGATATACCTATGCAGTATACAGTACAATGCATATACGTATATTTTTTTTAGAGTTCAGTCATGGTTGTCGATTCCACAATTTGACCTAAAATGACAGCCATTGTAACTAAATGCAAGTGATCCTCTACTTACAAACATTCGACTTGCAAATTTTCAGATACAAACAAACCTGTCCATGTGTCCAATATAATTAAAATACTGTTTAAGGCTGTTAGGATATAGTGTAGAGTAGTGTGCTGTATTTATTATTGGGGTATACTGCAGCTGTACTGGACATCCTTTATTTTTTATAATATGTTCGGTCTCTAAAGGAGTAAAGTTGGACTTATGAACAAGCCTCAGGAACATAACTAATTTCTAGGAAGAGGAGCACCTGTACAGTCATCCCCTGCCTTACAAACATTCAGGTTACGGATATATCCCCTTAGAAAAATTATAAATTGTGAACACTAAATTTGGGATACGATATGAAAATTCACCCAACAAACAATTTAGAGAATATGAAGGAAAGCAGTACAAAATAAAAAACTCAAGATTAACCCAATGTACCTTATTTCACCAGCAAATCAGCTGTGTTGTTAAATCTGATCTAGGCCCTGGTTGCAAAGCTCATGTGAACAGAGTATCTTGAAAGTTTGATTAATAAATGTTTAGCACTGTATACATCAAACATATCCTGAAACTGATCTTGAGTATTTTTTAAACATTTTTACATAATACAAATCCACATAATGATAGAGCAAGCACTGCCACACACTAATCCACCTAACTACTGTTTACATCGTGAGTGCAGGCAGTACAAAACACAACACACTGCATCAACTACTGCCCATGAGCTTAGTTTATTTTTTTTTAATTATGCCATTTTTCTGAAATTTCCAGATTTCTGAGGTTGTATTATAGTAGAAAATTATAAGAATTTCAGTAAATGCTTATCAGTTGCAATATCTGAAGTTAAAATAGTAACTAGAAAAGATATCTTTAGATGGTACTGTATGAACAAGTAGCTGATACAGCATGCCCTTCAAATTCGCAGGGGTTAGGTTCTCAAAATGGCTGCAAATAGCCAAATCTGTGAATAACATTTCCTGATGGGAGGGGGGTAATTTTACTTGTGTGCAAAAATAATGTATATTCCCTTTATGTGTTTGCCCTTAGAATTAATATATATATATATATATATATATATATATATATATATATATATATATATATATATATATATATATATATATATATATATATATATATATATATATATATATATATATATATATATATATATATATATATATATATATGTTATGCCTCAATTTAACGGTCAGTTGAACTTGAGAGGGTCCTGTGTTAAGTGAAATATGCTAAGAACAACAGAACATATGGGATTAATTCCAATAGAAACCGGCCCACCCCAAACTCCACTTTTTGAAGGCACATACCTATGTAGTAAAATAACATCTTAATTTTATGATGGTACATGCACACAATTAATACTTAAGAGAAATAGAAAATACAGTCGCTAAGTTAATGTCCATTCAAATAATGGACTCAACTCCCTCCCCTCTCACACTACACTGCTATCCTTGGGGGAAAACCACTAAATTTCAATAAATAATACCTCAAACAGTTAGATAATATAATTGATATCAGGATTCTTGAAGACTAGGAATATTTTGAATATAAATGTCATATATTTTGCACAAAAGATAACATAGTTACCTAGAGAAAAATTTTTATCTAAAATTGTATGTTTAATGCAAAATATGTTGTTTATATTCAAAATGATCACCAAATTATAAGAATTCCAGCAATGTAAATTATATTCTGACCGGGTAAATTGTGTATGAATTTTATGAGCTAAAACAAATTTCTTCAGTTAATAAAAAATATAATCTTCACAACACTATCTGTCAATCAAAGTCCACCTTGCCTCCCCCTCTTCCAACCGCGGTCAGTCCCAACCCTCCCCCCACCCCCCACCAATCCTCCCTTCCAGAGTTTATAACATTTAGTATTAAATAATACCTCAGATTAAAGTTAGGATAATATAATTGACATTGCTGGATTCCTTGTAAGACCAGGAATATTTTGAATATAAATGTCATATATTTTGGACAAAAGATAACATAGTTAAAAGAGAACAATTTTTATCTAAAAATTGTATGTTTAATACAATATATGTTGTTTATATTCAAAATGATCACCAAATTATAAGAATTCAGCAATGTAAATTATATTCTGACGAGTAATTTGTATGAATTTTATGAGCTAAAACAAATATCTTCAGTTAATAAAAAAAAATAATTCTTCACAGGGTAACAGATGGTCAGTCGGTCGGTCCCTCCCTCCCCCACCCCCACCAACCGTCCCAAGGATGTGTGTGGGATAACCACTAAATTTTAATAAATAATACCTCAAACTAAAGTTAGGATAATATAATTGACATTGCTGGATTCCTTGTAAGACCAGGAATATTTTGAATATAAATGTCATATATTTTGCAAAAGATAACATAGTTACCTAGAAATATTTTTATCTAAAAATTGTATGTTTAATGCAAAATATATATTGTTTATATTCAAGTGATCACAAATTAAATTCAGCAATGTAAATTATATTCTGGCGGAGTAATTTGTATGAATTTTATGAGCTAAAACAGGCAGTCAGGCAGGGTGGCGGGTGGAAATCTAAAAATAGCGTCTCGAGCGGACACTCACGTATATGTGGATCGAGTGTTAAGTGAAAGTTCAGCTCTGGCGAGGCACCGCTATATGATAAAAGCGCGTTAAGTGAAACGCGTTAGGCGAAATGTAATACTGCGCCGCAACGCCGCGCGCACGCGCCGCATACGCCTGCGCACACACACACACACACACACACACACACACACAGTCAACCCTCGCTTTCTGGCGGTCCCGCTTCACGCGTTCCCACGTTTATGCAGTACCCTGCCGAACGGAATGCTCACTTTCTGAGGTGTGTGTACCCTTTCTACAGCGGAAGCGGAGCAGAGAGGTGCTTGCTAAAGATGCCCAGTCATCGAAACATTAAGAGTTCTTCACCTGCCACCCACCACGCCGGCCCAAGTCAGTGATAGTGATAATGATGGTGAGGATATGGACTTATATGGACTTTGAGGGTTTTGACAAAGAGGCCCTGCAATGCCTCTGTGGTGGATAGTGATACAATTGATACAAGTGATACAGGTGAGGGCCAATAATCCCTCTGCCGGAACCAACCCCCATCCCGTGTGCCCAGCCATCTTTTCTACTAATGTAAGTGTTAAAAACCTAATATTATTGATATTTCTCTTAATTATTAATTGTGTGTGCAAACCATCATAAAATTAAGAAGTTATTTTTACTAGCGTAGGTATTGTGTCTGAAAAAGTTGGAGTTTGAGGTCGGCCGATCTATTTCAATTAACCCCGTATGTTATGTTGTTCACTTCTGTGCTTTCTCATATATATATATATATATATATATATATATATATATATATATATATATATATATATATATATATATATATATATATATATATATATATATATATATATATATATATATATATATATATATATATATATATATATATATATATATATATATATATATATATATATATATATATGTGTGTGTGTGTGTGTGTGTGTGTCTCTACACACAAACACATGCTATAAGAACAGCACAGTCCCAACCATTGTAAAGATTATCAACAACTCGTAATCAACCAGTATATTCACTCCCAGCCAATCTTACCTTTTTGTACTGTCACTATGTTGAAATGCCCTGTAGTATAACATTTCCCCACTTAGTTATTATATATCATATTTGTATCACAAGACAGGCACCTTGCGGGATGCCACAAAACTCGCGTGCTCCACTTACCGGCCGCGAAAATGGTAACAACTTTAAAACTACCCGCAGACATTGTTGGATACATCCAGGGTGTCATCCACGAATAATAGAGGACCACAAAATAAAAATCCATGGATTATCCAGGCATGCTGTAATGTACTACAGTATGTATATTTTTTATAATAAAATACTGTACACTACAAAACAGCTACATCCATACATATACATTGAATAAACAAACAAACCAATGACACAAACAGAGAATCAATATAATGATTAAGTAAAAACTGTATTTTTAGTAGGCTGGCTGTAGCCAAAATTTCACCATGTAAGTATTTGGTGAACACTGGAAAAAATCATATTGCTTATTCATAAACACTGGGTCAATCTAAAAGGAAAATAATGGAGTTCAAACAGTGCTCAAACAATGTCACATGCTTTGCTATAATCATGTTACTGCAAGCACCTGCTCTTACTCAGAACATGTCCAGTAGGTCGCGTGATGAATAAGAAGCAACTACCATTTAAGAGGACTTCATAATTTATTACAGTAGCCTTGGGTTATTTTCTAGCTGCTTTTTTTATCTCATGGGTACCTAAGTTAGTACCATTTTCAGTCAACTTGGTTCTTAATTTCCCTGAATAACTTGGCATCACCTGCAAACATTTGTATGGAGGAGTGTATAGCTTCTGGCATGTCATTTATGAAACAAACAACGTGTCCAGTACACTGGGCACGTTGTCACAGATATGCATGAAAATTTCATGTAATCACAAGATATTGCTTGCAGTCATGAAGAAAGTCTATGATCCATGCTAGAATACTTCCAGTTTAATTCTCAGCCTTTCATGGGGTATGTTGTTGAAAGTCTTGGCACCCTTTCCAGTATTTGAGTCCAAACATCCAGCACCTCAAGTAATTTTGTCAAGCAGGAGAGTCCCGGCATATAACCATGTTGGCATTCCTTCACAAAGTTGTTTTGTAGTAGATGTTCCATCATGCATTGTTTCGTGAATTTTGGGGGCATCTGGTCTTTTATCCCTTATTTGGAATTGAATTACATGCCTTTTTTATACTGCAATTGGACTAGGCATATTTCTCAAAACACTCTTGGTCTCTACCTCACTAAATAACCTGAGGCTACTGTACTTCAAATAGGAGTGCACATGCAGGTTACAAATAATGAGCAACACATTATAGGTTCATAATAAAGTGTACAATAAATGGCACACAGAAACACTCTACTCTGAGTGACATGCACATGCTGCTGTGGCCGTAGCTTACTGGTCATGCGGCCTAAAGCTTGGGCCATGAGTAGACTCTGGGCAGGGCAGACCCATAGTGAAAATCATAAAGCTGTGCCTTTATGAACTCTGCAATATCCTTTGGTTGAGGGTAAACAGAAGCTATGCCTGTAAATGTGGGCCAAATAGTTAGCCAAATCTTAAAGAATACGATTTTTTACATTTTTTAATGGACTTTATTCTTTTAGTGGTGCCCATTCTTCATGCTTCAGGGGCAACTTTTATGTTTGCAAAAATATTCAACTAAATTCTTCATCCATATGTCTGGAAATAAAGGCTTGCTGTTATAAGCTTTTATCTGCATAAGCTTGACCATAGCAAATGTAGTGACAAGTGTGCACAAGCTAACATAGCACATGGCTGATTATTTGCTGTAGAAGCATAATCTTAAATACCTGAATGCTTAAAGAATATATATAATTGCTGTACAAAGTATTACCTTCATCTCCAAATATGATTCAAGTAGACAATAGTAAGATAATGGACAATGTATGTTATAACAAGTACCTGTAATCCCCATAACTAATACTCCAAACATTAAAATTTACACATAATAAAGTATTTTCAAACTGCTCAGGTGGTAAGGTTTTGGACTCCTAACCCATGAGATCTGTTTTTAATGCCATGACCTGGCAGGGTTTATGTACACAGAATGGACATCAACTTCAGGCTATGCAAACCCATCTCACTTGGGAGTTGCCATCCCACACTTTGTGAGGAGCAGTGAAATAAATAAAAAGCCTTTCAAGTATAAGGTGCTGTACTTGCTTACCATATGATGTACTTTAAAACAAACAAACACACATGTACACATACAAATGCACACACATACACACTTTCAAATACCGATTATCACCATAAGTGTCGAGATATACTCATAAGAAAAACACCCAGTGATAACCTGAAAGTTTCTGCCCACTTATTTCAAGGGCAGCAATAACCAGTTTAATTATTATTGGCATACACTTAATATGTCCTCTTTATATCTGCTCTGCCTCTATAGTAATCACACCTGTACCTATTTTGTTTTCCTCATGAAAATTAAACTTCTTCAATATTTACATACTGTACTATCTATGATATTGCATAACAACAATAATGAACTACCTATAACCCACACATGTGCTAAGGTGCTGAGGTTCATGCTTACACAATCCTGAAAAGCAACAGTAATGTCACTCCAAGCAGTCTCTAAAATAAAGATTAAAATAATGATAAAAAAAGCTTGGAAGCAGAAAAGAATTACAGTAAGCATCCTTAAAACATAATTATATACATATATATATATACAGTGTACGGTATAAAATTATCTCCCTTGATGTGATAGAAATATTCATCCTTTTTCAGCATAACAAATGGTGTATGAATAAAAAAATTCTTTCTTGGTGCAATAGCAGGCATTCACATAGCATGTAAAAATATAAAAATTTCCCACTTTTTTGTTTTCTTTTGTAAGGACACACATACCTGTCTTGTAAGCATGTTCAGCAATATAGATGGCAATCTTCAATGAGCAATTCCTGATGTCGGAAAGAGGTGGGTACAATCGACCCTTTGCAAGGTCATCTTCAGTTACCAAGTCCGCAAGGGCCTAGAAATTTAGAGAATATTTGAGAACCGAAGAAATGTAGTAAAGATCAGTGAAACACCATCTTCATATTTAAATACAAAAGAATCGTAGTGACTCTTCCTGTGTCTGTCCGAAGTTGCCTTGCTATAAACCGACCCTAGGCTACAGTTGTAAGCTTCGAGTGAATAGACTATAGTTACACACACGTTCTTTCTTACCTTCCCTATATTTACCTAATGGCCACCACTAGAATCAACCATGCTGAGGGAAGGAGGCCAGTGGAATGTGAAGGATCCCTCCATTGTTCTTGATAGGTTCATCTAGGGCTATTTTGATGCCCAGACCTTCTATGGCAGTCATAATCCTAACCTTGGCTGCCATGGAACCTAGTCCGACTTTCATAATTATAATAACTACCTTGGCTACCATAAGTGAAGCACCTACCTTGGCTGCCATGAGGAAGATTCCATCTTCAATGTGGTGGATACCAGTACAGATGACACCAAGAGCAACACCAGGGAAAATGTAAGCATTGTTGCCTTGGCCTGGGTAGAATGTCTGGCCATTTAGTGTCACTGGATCAAATGGAGAACCAGAGGCAAACACAGCCCGGCCATCAGTGTACTTGTAAGCATCCTCAGCCGTACATTCAGCCTGAAAACATTTAACTATTAGAATAAAGGCAGATATGTGCTGATTCAGTGTTATCCTTTAAAATCCAATACATGTATAATGAAAACATTTCTACTGTTAAGTGTGTGAGTGGTGGTGGGTTGTCATTTGATGAACCTTCTAGATACACAAGAGCATCAGCTGACACACAACCATGAGAGGAGGAACACTCATACACTCCTCAATTGTATTTTATATTATATTTTACATATATTTGTACTGTATATGTTTCATATTTTTGTATAAAAAATCAATCCAAACAAATACTATGGTCTCAGTACACTGCCCTGTGGTACCTCGCTTGCCACGGGTACACATAACAATTCTGTGCCATTATCATAACATACTGCTTGTGGTCATGAAGAAAGTATCTGATCCACACGAGGACATTTCCCAGAATTCCATATCCTTCCAGTTTAATTTTCAGCCTTTCGTGAGATATGCTATCGAAAGCCTTGATAAAGTCTAGGTACAGTACAGTATATAAATTATCAATATTGCCACCACACCAGGATCTAAGTTCACACATCCATGTTGGCATTCCTTTACAAGGTTGTTTCATAAAAGATGTTTTATCATGGCATCTCCTATAATGCTCACAAGTATTTTACACATTATGCTAGTCAAACTCACCGGCAGTGATCACATTTTTTAATATAGGACTCATATACCTGTACTGTGTGCCATTTTCCAGTCGCTGGGGACCTTTTGCTCATCCATGCATCTGGAAAGGAATACAAAACTATTCTACTTATAAATAACAAGGGTATTACAAGAACATACCTTATGTGTTGGGTTACTGAGAGCAAAGATGATAGGGCGGTCATTGAAGGAAGCCATGTCTTTAAGAAGCTCAGGAGTGAACACACCTCCAATGGCAGCAGCACCTGATGAATAAACATATTATCATCATTTGTGTCCAGTAGTCAATTTCACTGCAATTAGAGATGAAGAATTACATAGAGTATGGGAAAATCCCTGTTGGTACTGACTCCACCATCTACAGTCATAGTGGGAGAAAGCTTACAAAAGGGAAAATAAAAACATATGTAAAGGGAAAAAGGACAAGCACATAACATATTCTACTCGTATGTGTTTGACTTTCGTGGCATCATTCAGTATTTATCTTTACTCAGAATCTGGAGTAATATGCGAAGGTGTGATGTTCTGAATACTCGACGTTTTAACTACGTGAACCCTAATTTATATAACAGCTCCCTCACAAAATACAGACAAAAATTAATATTATAACATAGGTAACACTGCAATTAACAATCTAGCTTCATATTGCACAAAACTCTCCTTTTTAATTAAATACTGTAAGAGTTTTTCATTAACTCCTAAAATGACTGACATCCACAATCTTCTTATGTTCAGTAGTGCTGTTTAATCCTTTGAGTGCTTAACTTAACAAAAGTCGCATCTTATAGTTTTTGGTAGTGGGACTTAAAACTGCGAGATCAGCTTCTTGTGATTTACTAGTGGACAGTGGGAGCTCAGAGACCAAAACATTTTCTGATGTCACTCTGGCTTGCGTTAGCTGATTGCCGCTGATGCTATCAGACTTTTCAGTTTATATGCCATGACAACATTACTACTGAACTGTGAATAGTTGGAGAAAACAATGATATATAAAGAAATTATTTATTCCAATATAATATAGGAGAAATTAACGTGTGTTATATGCACCACAGTTTGTGAATGTCTGGACAGTTCATCAGCTGATCACCACATTTCAGCTAATCTGTGTATGATAGTCGTATATATCTGTTATAACAAACAAAAGTATTGGTCCACATAATCCCTGAAGACCACACTATCAACAGCCATAATAAAGACTGTACTGGCTGTAGACTACTTCCACTCTCCTACACTTACCAATCAGAGCAGTCGGCTTAATATCTTTGACAACATCTGCAAGGTTATCCATTGGGGCATGATCATGGGCAAAAGAAATCTTATGCCCACTGATGCCACCCTTGGGGCGGTTCTTGACAATAAGTCCTTTGGAATCCACTAACCAGATCTTGGATCGAGCTTCTTCAATTGGCACACCTTCCTCCACCATGGCCATCACAATTAGGTTTGCAATACCAAGTGAAGCCTTTAATAAAGAAATTCACAATTTATACTTTATCAGACAGAACTATACAAGAAGAATTACAGGGTGTTAAGAGTTCATTAATGGGATCCTGAGATCTTGGAATCTCAGTATTCCCAAAGGTAAAATTTACAACTCAATTCCCAGGAAATTTATCACTACACCCAGCAACTTCCGTGCATTATCTTTATAATTTAAATGCACCAATTTTATGTATTTCCATATACCCGTACAGTAGTTGTTTTTGTAATTACTTTTCAAACAGCTGGGTGGGCTCGCTGCTTTTGCCATGTTACCCCACCCACAACTTCTTGGATATTTTGATATTCCTGAATCTGCCCCTGCACAATTCTACAAAATCAATACTTATGTACTTGAACATCATCAATGTTCAAGCAATTGAAAAGTTTTGGAACTTAAGAATGGTAAATATTTTTGGTTCCCTACCTGCTGAAATGACTGTCAACCTTATGGAAAAGATTGGTGAATTTAACCACAGTATCAAAAATTATATACCCTGTATTTACAAGTGTAACTGATGGAACTAGTACTGTACAAGTATTATGGTTTAATATGGTGGAATCACTGATAGTGATTACCAATTGTGTTAGTGTACAGACTCCATTTAAAGAGTGACTTAACTGAGAAATGTGCTGACATTGCTGGGGAAAATGAAGAAGCAGCAAGTATTGGTGCTGCTGATTCCATGAAATCAGACGATGATGATGAGAATGATAAAACAAAGAATTCACATCACAAATGCATTGGGAATCGACAACAATGATGTTGATTATTTGGGAAAAGAATTAATCTCAAAGAAATTACAGAAGGTTTTGAAACTGATGTAAAAATTGCAAGTGCAATTACCAAGGTGGAACAACTTCAAGGAGCTTTTGTAAATTGCCTCGAAAGAATGAAATCTTACAAAAATAAGCTAATTTCACCAATAAACAAACGCACAAACATACTTCACCGGCTCCTTGGAAGAGGAACTTGTGCTGTGATAATTTTGTCTTGGTAATTCGCAGAGAGGCCAACAAACCTGCCACAGCAACAGATGCTGTACCCTGAATGTCATCGTTGAAGGTGCAGTATTTTCCACGATAGCTGGAATAAAAGATTAATACTCGTGTGGAGGAGATGAACTGTCAAAAAAAATGTAATCCACCAAGTCTTTGTGTACTGAACATATTGTCAAAACTGCTTTAAGCAGAAAAGCTACAACTGTCCTGTAAAGTTTCCTCGGCACATTATAATTCTTAACCTGGCACTACTAAATGCACTATTTGTATACAATATCTTGAAATTCTGAATTCTCTCTTTACTTGTGTATTGAAGATACATTTAGATTTCCAAACTACCTCTGAAATTACCATTGAAAAAAACATGCCACTTACTTCTCAAGGAAGCGGAATGCATTATGGTTGCCAAAGTCTTCAAACTGGATAAGGGTATTTTGGCCATAACGTTGAACCACTGCTTGCATGAATTCATCAATGAAATCATCATATGCTTGACCTGTCACACGCTCATGACGATTACCAATGTAGAATTCATCCTCAAGCAGTTCCTGTATAAGGATTAAAATGGTAAAAGAAAATACCTTCCAGATAAATCTTCATAATATATGAACTATAAGCAGCAAACTGCCATTCACATAAACAAGGTCTTGGAGTCACACCCTGACTTTATCCATTTTCTCTTTTTTATAACTGTTGCATCATCAGACATTTTTATCATTTATCAAATTTAATAAGTTTGGGTTTCCTTACCTCATTTATCAAATTGAATGATTTTATGATTCCTTACCTTACTGTTGGTTCCAACATCAAGTACGATGGGCAGACACTGATGTGGCTTGATTCCTGCCAAGGCAGTATAGAGAGACAACTTGCCAACAGGAATGCCCATACCTTGAACACCTAGATCTCCAAGACCAAGGATACGCTCGCCATCAGTTACAACAATGGCTCGCACATCACTCTCAGGCCTGAAGAGACACAGTATACACTAAACCCTCACTATTCAATATTCTGGTAAAATTAAATACTTTTGGGTCATACAATTGTTCTCAAACAATTTCATGCTAATCTCATACTGCCTTACTTCCCAAAATAAATTTTCATAAAAAACACCTATAAATCAAAGAAAAGGAAATTACCTAAAATTGTACAGGACAGCACCACTACCCACCATCAAGCTAGCCACATATCTATCTACACATATTTTTATCAATCTTATGATATTAACACAATAAGCATAAAATAACTGTAAAAATGCATAAAAGAATCATATTTGTTGTGGTAACAAATGACTTAATGAGAAGTGTGTGTATGTTCTCTCTCTCGCTGTCATTTGTCAACTTGTTCCTTTATGGTCATGACATTTAATATCTACTTTCACCAGTAAAATACCCGATTTGAATATTTTATGTACAGTACAGTATTTTAAAATATGAACACACTTTAGTTTTTTCATAGTATTTCACTGAACACAAACATAGTATAAAGGATATAAGGAAAATTCTAAGCAGTTTACAGAGATTAATTCAGCATTACTGTACTGGGCTTTGCTGAAGGAGACTGAAGAGAGGAATGTGGTAAGGGTGAATCCAAACATTTGGGAGGCTAAAAGAAGATGAAGAAAGTTTTCTTAAAATCAAACATGCTACCCCATACCCTGTACTGTATTTCCTATAAAAATTAATTCAAATTAGTAAGAATTTGATATACTGTACAGTATATATGAAGCTATTCAGGTAAGTGCCTAATGCACATTAGGGATCCAAAAATTGGAAAGAAATACCATTCAATCTGAAATAGATTAGAAAATAAGGAACTTTATTTAAAAATACAGTACAGTATTTTGATTAACTTACCAATTCCTCAAGACATCATAAACATGTCCCTTATCATGAATTGAGATGAAGAGGCCACGAGGTCTACGGAAGATTAAGCCAAACTTCTGACACGCCAACCCTACAGTCGGTGTGTAAACAATGGGCATATACTCCTCTACATTTTCACTCAGAAGCCTATAAAAGAGACGTTCATTGCGATCCTGGAAATAAAACAAATATATTACAGTACAGTATATGTAAGTTAAAACCCTGAAGGCAATATCTTAAGTCATCATACACTGTTCGTACCAGGTCTTAAAAAAAGAAAAGAAAAAGATTGTGAGTAAATTTGGCAATGCTTACAATTTTCAATAATGTTTTAATATGACAACTTCTGACATATACTGTATATTGATAACATGTTATCATGAACAGGGGATACAATCTCATTCCTATTTTAACTACCGTAATAATTGTATTCATTAAAAACTCTTGTGATAAGTAGCTCAGGATTACATATTTTGTAATCTACTGTACTTTACAAGGTTCATTATCCTTGGCTGGCTGGTAATTACCTGAAGGCCAGCTAGATAGATAAATTTGTTCAGTGGTTCTTGATAGCGATCCACATTCTTCAGACAAAGGTCAACTTGCTCTTCCTGTGTTTTGAAACGTGGGGGGACTAGCCCATGGAGACCCAGTACTTGTCTCTCCTCCAAGGTGAAGGCCATACCCTGGAAATACATGTATTTATCTATGAGGGACAGTGTTAGTGCGGTATCTCAGATTACAAGATGAGTTAAAAATAAAACTGAGCTCAAAATAGTAATCTACCAAGAATTAGCATAACTTTTTCCATTTTTTTCACTTTTACTTAAAGTACCATAAAGAAAGAGATTTATAATTTTCTTGACTTAATTTTTCTCAGAGTACAGTATAATAAATACTTTTATTCAGGTATCTTTCCCAGTACTACATCCTTCACTGTCTAGTCTATACTGTGAAGCGATATCACAGCATTACTTAACACAGCTGTTGAAAATCCTTCACAAGGGTATAATGATCCTACCATTAATATATTTGGCTGATCTATGTGGGGGGTGAGTGCAGGAATGAGAGTTCAGTATTGACGAGCATTTCTCAAGTAACTTGCAAGAGGGGCGTGGTTAACTACAGGTATGCTAGGCAAGACCTTAGAGCAAGCCAGGTGAGGGTACAGGGAGAAGATATTTTTGAAGAATCAAAGTGGTGTAAAATTCAGTTGAAGGGAGGAGATGTACTTATTGTCGGGTGCATCTACAGATCTCCAAACTGCAGCTTACCAAACCAAAGGAACTTAAGAGCCTTAATTGACAATGTGGCGAGGTTCAACCCTAGCCACCTCCTTATCATGGGGGACTTTAACTATGGCAACATCAACTGGCGAAATGAGCACACGCCAAATGACCTAAATAACCCCGCTACTCTTTTTGTAGAAATTCCGAGATATAATTTTCTGTTCCAGCATGTAAAAGACCCAACGCATTACAGAGGGGAGCAAACACCCAAGCCACTGGACCTCACCATAACAAACGAGAAGGGTATGGTGGCCAAACTGGAACATCTAGCCCCAGTTGGCACCAGCCACCATGTAATGCTGTCTTTCAGGTTCAATTGTTACAGTGCACGACATAACCAGGCCAAGGTGCAAATATTACAAGGAAAATTTTGACGGGATGAGGGAGGAGATGAGGGGTATCCACTGGCCTGACTCGCTAAGGCATAAGATTGTGGACGCTACACTAAATACCATAGCTAGTAAAGTAAATTTATACCCAAGACCAAACCCAGTGTCTCTAGAAATCCAAGGAGACCGCTTTACATGAACCATGCAGCGGTCGACGAAGTTAAGAAGAAAACCCAGAAATTCAAGACGTGAGGTCAGGTCGAACAATGAGCTGGACAGGAGGATGTATGCAAGAGCCAGGAACCATGCAATAGCAGTGTAGAAGGGATGAAAACAAGTTCCAGAGGCTGGTTGCAAACGAGGTCAGGACAAACCCAGAGGCGTTTTACCACTATGCAAAGTCGAAATTAAAAACACGAGTAGGAGTATCAGATCTGAGACTTGATGATGGCAGGTACGCAGAGTCTGACCAGGACAAGGCCGAGGCATTGAACAGCTTCTTTTCCTTGGTGTTCACAAGAGAGGATGCGAACAATCTTCCTGTGTTTGAGGATAGGCTGTACAATACAGCACTGACCCATTTTGTGTTCACAGAAGAGGTTATAAGAAATAGACTGTCAAAGCTAAAGGTTCATAAGAGTCCCGGACCAGACATGGTGCATCCCAGAGTGCTGAGGAAGTTGTGCAATGAGCTAGCTGAGCCCCTGAAGATCCTGTTCAGTAAATGCCTGGATGAACAAAAAGTCCCCAGTGATTGGAAAATGACCTATGTGAGTCCTATCTTCAAGAAGGGCGATCATCACTCCACGAATAACTAAAGACCAGTGAGCCTAACAAGCATAATATGTAAAGTACTTGAGAGCATTATAAAAAATGCCATGATGGAACATCTACAACGAAACAACCTCGTAAAAGATTATCAACACGGTTTTATGCCGGGGCGCTCCTGCTTGACACAATTACTCAGGGTAATGGATATTTGGACCCAAATTCTACATCAGTGTGGTAATATTGACAATATTTACTAAGATTTTGAAAAGGCTTTTGACAGTGTACCCCATGAAAGGCTGAAAATTAAACTGGAAGGGTATGGGATTCGGGGATATGTCCTAGTATGGGTAAAGGACTTTCTACATGACCGCAAGCAGTGTGTGGTGGTTAAAGGCACAAAATCATCATCTGTATCCGTAAGAAGTGAGATACCATAGGGCAGTGTAATGGGCCCGCTGCTGTTTATTTGCTTCATAAATGACATACCTGAAGCTGTACATTCCTCCATGCAAATGCTTGCTGACGACGCCAAGTTATTTCAGGAAATTAAGAGCTAAGCGCACTGCGAAGAGCTGCAGAAGGATTTCTGTGAGCTTCAAGAATGGTCGAAGAAATGGCCGCTGAGATTCAATGTCACGAAGTGTAAGAGTTGCACTTGGGATGTACCAACGGTAAGGAGGCGTATCATACGTCCCAATGAGACGAAGAGACTGCATTAAATGAGACGGAATGTGAAAAGGACCTGGGTGTGTACGTTGACAATGAACTGAAGTTCTCGGGCCATTGCAAGAAGAAGGTAAACTAGGCAACTTAAGTTATTAGGTCTTATAAGAAGTTCGTTCAGATATCTAGATGGTCCGTCCCTTGTAACGATCATCAAGAGTGAAGTGCTTCCCCGCCTGGAGTACTGTCATCCCATCTGGTCCCCGAGATATGCTAGAGACTGTCAGCTAATTGAAAATGTCCAAAGGAGGGCCACCAGATTGGTGCCTGCACTGCAGCACCTCAGCTACCCGGAGAGATTAGAGCGCCTGAGCTTGCCTGGCTTGTATTACAGACAGGCAAGGGGAGATCTGGTTGAGGTGTACAAGCATCTCAGAGAGCACTACTCAGTTGAGTGTCCTTACCTGGAGCTGGCAGACGCTCGCCCCACAAGGGGACACAGCTCAAGGTTAAAGAAGCCGCAAGTCCGGATAACTGTGAGGGATAACTTTTTCGGAGTGAAAGTTGTGAACTCTTGGAACAATCTACCAGAGAATATGATGATGGCAGACAGTGTGAGCTCTTTCAGGACCAGACTTGAACAACACTGGAGGAGGTACAGATGCATTCAGGAGCTGGTGCATGCCCAGTACTTGCCAACAGTCCGTAACAGAGATGTGACCGATCGCCCAAGTGACAAACGAGCCGATCAGTGGTGAAAAGGATAAAAGTAAAAAGTAAAGAAGTGTGGTGAGTGTAGGGTGTGTGGGGTGAGTGTAGGGTGTGTGGGGTGAGTGTAGGGTGTGGGGTGAGTGTAGGGTGTAGCAGGGTGTGTGGGGGAGTGTAGGGGTGTGGGGGAAGGTAGGGGTGTGGGTGGGGTGAGTGTAGGGTGTTTGTGTAGGGTGTTTGTGTAGGGTGTTTGTGTAGGGTGAGTGTAGGGTGTTTGTGTAGGGTGTTTGTGTAGGGTTAGTGTAGGGTGTTTGTGTAGGGTGTTTGTGTAGGGTGTTTGTGTAGGGTGAGTGTAGGGTGTTTGTGTAGGGTGTTTGTGTAGGGTTAGTGTAGGGTGTTTGTGTAGGGTGAGTGTAGGGTGAGTGTAGGGTGAGTGTAGGGTGTGTGGGGTGAGTGTGGGGTGTGTGGGGTGAGTGTGGGGAGTGTGGGGTGAGTGTGGGGTGAGTGTGGGGTGAATGGAAGGGTGTATAGAATGGGCCTTGGCAAGGGAGTTATGCCTATCTGGCACTGGGACCAAAACTGTAGCGGCCGTGTCTTAACTTTGTATGGCCTCCGAACAGTTGCATGCTAGAGATTTTAATAACTATTTCTCCATCCCTCAATATGCCAAATTACCCTGAAACTCTTATTCACAACCTCTTCCCTCCCAGGACTCTGCATAGCCGCTCTCATGTCCTGCCTCTTGGTGACCTACAGTGTGTCCAAACAGTGCTAAAGGAACTTGTGATAGCGCTCCCTCATGTATTAGGTCACTCTAGGTCATGAGAAACCACAAGCTGTTTATGAGGCTCTGTTGGTCAGTTGCTGCCTTGGTGTCCATCATCACACACACATATTCACCACCACTTTTGAAAATGCTCCAAGTGTTTCAAAATTCTCCATCACAGCAGTAAGCTTACTGGCTGAGGACGCTTAATCTACCACTGGACTCCAAACTGACTGACTAATTAAGTCAAGGTGTTATATTTTCATCTGGTCTTGAGAATTGTAACACATTCTAGTGAAAACGACTATCAGTACAACCATGACCCAAGATGTGAAAGTGGGGGAGTGCCACAGTGGGTGAAGTGCCCTTATGTTTATAGTACCACAGTAGATAAAGTGCCAGTGTGGATTGACTGTCACTCTACATAAAGAGCCTTAGTGGGTGTAGTGCGATTGAGTGGAGTACGACAGTGAGTGGAGGCAGTATGTGGTGGGTGGAGTGGGCGGTGGACTTGTGTTGCAGGTGCCCATGTCATCTCTACAAGTCCTCAGGTACGTCCAAAGACTTCACCCCCAGGAAAGTTTATCATAATCATGCAACTCCTCACACATAAATTCTCCCCTGCAATAGTACTAGAATCTTCCTCTATACCTGAATTCTCCCATAAATAACTAAAACTTTCCCTCTGCATTACCTTAATTCTCACCTGCACCACGCAAATCTACTCTACACTATCATAATTCTGCATTGCATCACACAAATCCTACCCTGGACCACTCAATTGCTTTCCTGCATCGCCCAAATTCTATCTTGCATCGTATAAACTCTACCCTGTATTGCCCAAATTCTCCCTAGTACCCCCCCCAAAAGTCTTCCTGCAAGCACCCAAAGTCTCCTGGCAACCATAAAAGTCTCCTGGCAACTCAAAAAGTCTCCTGGCAACCCCAAATTTCTTTCGGCAACACGTAATTTCTCTCGGTATCCAAGACCGAATCAATAACCTCTCCCCTTGACGTTAGGTCGCTCTAGCTCTCCCCAACACCTAACTTTCCACTATACTGAAGTTAACCCGTAACACTTCATACACCAGACTGAGCCCGACATCCCTCCATCACCAAGACCACCAGTCATAACTGTACCAAAACCAACTCAAACACAACTGTCAGCAAAACAAACCTACTCGTAACTTAATTAAATACCTCCTCCTAACTTAGTCCAAGCCTAGTCTTAACCCTATAGCCTAGTCGTGTAAAGAAAGGCAGCACAAAACCATGACGGGAAATGACGATTTACGCTTAGGTCATGTACTTCAGTGAGGTATTTCTTTTTAGTTATCTCTTTTTTCCCTCTGACAAACATCAGTACTGTACATTATTATAATGGTCTGACCGGTGGTCTGATGGTGAGCATGAGTACCTGAAGTAATAACTCTTGATGATTAGTTTATCTTGTATACCTGTACATACTGCGATTTTGGAAAACTATCAGAATTGGATTTAAATCACAATAGACTGCGACATTTAAATAATTTTGTCTAATTTTAGAACTTGAGAAAATTAGTGTTAGGTTGGGTTTTCAAGGTTGTTCGTATGTCCAGACTAGTAAGATATTTCGAGAGAAAAATATACCCTGTACAGTACTGTATATTAAAAAACAGTCAATTTATAGTCTTACAGCGGTCTTTAATATGTATTCCGCAATGTTTAGACAATTTGTGACTGAGCAAATCTAATAATATTGAAAAATTAATATCTCAGTAATCCTTAATTTCCGGCGGAAATACCATAGAAGAAAAATGTCTTAGAATTGTCTAAACATTAGAATATACATGTAAAAAACAGCGAAAGAAAGACCGGTTAAGACTATAAATTGAAAAAAGTGGGTTTTAGCATAAAAAAAATCGACATATAAGTGCCAGTGTCATTAACGGGCTATTTTTATTGTCCTACAGTTGATGAGGCGCGACTATCAATGACCGTCAGTGTGCGACATTGCTGTCTTATGCTACACCTCTCACGTAGATACATTACTCTCACCTTGTCCACACCATGTGCTATAACCACTCCCCCTCTCTCCCGTCGACAACACTATCGTCATGATGTTACCCCTGTGTTCCACTTGCTGTGGCTCACACTTGGTTTATCCCATCAGGCATCACCGCTTAGTGTGTGAACAGGAGGCATCACCGCTTGGCGTGTAAACAGATTCTGTCATCCCCAATTGTTCTTCCCCAGCTAGATTTGGTCCACCTAGTGCCTAACCTTCTGTGTCCCACACTTGGTGTCTACAAGGTATTTGAACCTGGTGTACCCCACACGGTGTCCCCTCCCGAAGAACCCTTGCATGCACTACCCTTAAGAGGCTCAGATGGTGTATCCCACCCACTCACACCCCCAGTGCACTTAAGCACTGTCCGCAAGTAAGATTACTGTAGGTGTCCTGCCTCACTGCCCTGCCCACTTCCCACACCCTCAACCTCCCCAAACATAACACACACTAATACGTTCACACATCTCACCAGCTAGTATTCTAACTTCAGAAATGCAGGTTAAAACTGAATTCGTGAGCCCTAGCAGTCAGAATGTGAGCGTATGTTGGAAGGGAAGAGGGGGTCCAAGTCAGAACGGAACCACCAACAGAATAACAGGAGGCTGCCGAGGTCACGATTCACTAAGAGGGCATTATATATATATACCATTACAGACGATATCACAACCATTACTTCTAACGTTAAGTACTCATTAATAACAAGAACTACAACTACTCTTAATAGTTACCTGCACTACTACTACTACTACTACGGCTTAGATATGGTACATAGGATACTTCAGACCAGGCGATCAACACCGCATTAGCCCCACAACCATGACCACAACAGAGGGAGTCAAGGAGGACCTCCTGCCCCCAATCACAGTTTATGAATCACATCAAACAAGCCCTTAAAAACTGGAGCTGTTATCAAGGGTGTGTGTCTTATCAGTTGGTACCCCGGTGACGCTAATAATAGTGCCCCTCCTCCCTCCCCCCGTCAAGCCCTCCCGAAGCGCATTTCATCCAACAAGCAACAACAGCCACGAGAATCTTTGTAAGAGCTTGATTTGTGTATGTATGTGTGTATGTATGTGTGTGTGTGTGTGTGTGTGTGTGTGTGTGTGTGTGTGTGTGTGTGTGTGTGTGTGTGTGTGTGTGGTGGGCAATGAAGCTTTTTTAAGACCTTGCTGCAGCCCTTGTGTGTGGTGGGGGGGGGTTATAGTATGTGCCTGAATCAGCTTTCAATAGATGAAGAAAAAGAATCCCACCTGGCCTCGTCTAGTCCAATCTAGCCTCACCGAACCTAGCGCAATGCTGCCTGGCCAAGCTTAACATAACATTATCTAGCTTAGCGATGCACAGACTAGCCTAACATTACACACTCTAGCATAGCATCACCTAACCCAGACTACCATTATATACCATAGCCTGGGCTAAGAAACTACCGAACAGGGTTACGAGACCTTGAGAAGCATATAGTTGAAAGGGTCGAAGCCAACGCTAGTCGTCGAACTCGCCCGAAAGATTTTAGTTACCTTAGCTAGCAGGAAACATGCTCACGGATAGACGCTGAGACAGACAGACAAGTGACGATAATACCCGTCAGTCTATCCCCTACCCAGCAGCCTATTTCCCCCATCCCCCCTCACTGACCTTGTTAAGCCGAGGGTCCCTGAGATAGTCGATGCCTCGCACCATGTTAGGGCATATGTTGTCACCAGTGTGCTCGTGGAAGGGTCGCTGCCCTACCCTGTCTCTTCTCAGGTTGTCCATACTGCCTAGTACCACTCTGGCCTGCCCGCCCAAACGTCCACTGCTGCTGGAACATAAACACAAGCATTACCATACTGGCCTACTCACCTACTACTGCTGGAACACACACACACACACACACACACACACACACACACACACACACACACACACACACACACCTCATTACAACAAATATTTTCTTCCACTACATAAAGATTTAACATTACAAGGAAAACATTAACACCTCCAACAGCCATGACTTCAAAATCACTATTATTATTACACTCTTCCACCACTGAACACACATCAACAGTATCCTGGAAAATATTAAAAATAACTCGAGAAAAACTCTTATGGTTAGGTTAGGGTGTCAGTCACGGGCCTGTCGTCACACATGTATTATCTCCTGTGTGGTAAATATATTTGTGAGCCAGCTGGGTTTGTACACAAGACGCCGGTGTCGTCACGGTTGCACTAATAGTCCTGACTCACACCGGATATCATTCACATACGTAATGCCTCCTCAAGGATATTTAAACCCAGGACCAACAGTGACAACCCAGTGACAACAACCATGCCACCTAACACAAATTACTCTAAGTGCTATAACTATTAGTTCACACTCTTATACAGGGGAGTGAGCAACAAACCTCTTCTATAAACTAAATAAAGAATACTGTTACCACCACCACCAATAATAATAATAATAATAATAATAATAATAATAATAATAATAATAATAATAATAATAATACAACTACCTTTATTCTTCCTACCATCACTCCTACTATTACAATAGCAAAGGTTAGCGAGAGTAAGCAAGAGGCCCCCAACGTGACGGGGTATTAGTGTCAGTGTGTTAACCTTGACCATGGCCCTCTTAAGCCTCTCCACCCCCACTAACCCTCCCTCCCGCATCACCATCACTCTCCTCTTTATCCTCTCACTACAGCTGTCCCTTCCCTTTCCCTCCAGCCCCTCTATCTCCTGTATCATCATTACACTCTTTCCCTCCATCACTACCGCCCCTCCACCACCAGCCTCCCTCACAGTCCCGTATTATCAACAGCTTCCTGCGGTCGGACGCTGCACTAAACACGTATCTGCTGTTTGTTTAGTGGCGATACCAATTCAATTCAATTCAATTCAATTCAATTTCAAATGTTTATTCCTTGATTGAGGAAGCGGGATCCTAGTGCTGTCACTAGGTACCCCTGTACAATGACACCAGAAGCATCTGGCAAGTGTGACAAGTATATACAGTATAAATATTATAAAGGGGCTTACTGAAGCCTAAGGAAGGAAGGATATTCCTTTAACACATAATCAATGTTATTTACAAAATATCTGGCCAGTATGGGGAGGATCATCGTGTCTTCGTCAGGGGGTCGTGGAGTGGTGGTCCAGCAGGCGTCACGGAAGCGTTGTGTGTGGGGACATCTTAGGAGGTAGTGGATAAGGGTGCTGCTGTCGGGTCTTCTGCATAATGCACAAGAGCGTTGCTCAGAGGATGCGGGGATACCAATCTCCCAAGCAAAGTCATACCCAATGATGATACGGGCAACAATCACGTCCCCTTTCCACGACCCTTTCCCATAGACGTACGAGAGGTCAGGAAGTTTACGGGGGACATCGTACCAGGTGGGCGGGGAGTCCAGGGGGATGGCTGCTTCCCGAGCTTCTCTCTGTTTGCGGCGAATTTGGGTCCTAAGCTGTAAAAGTGTTCGAGGAACAACGTAGTCAGGTGTGGCCTTGTTGCAGCCAGTCTTGGCAAGGCCATCTGCTGCCTCATTCCCCAAGATACCGACATGACTAGGTATCCCTAGGAATGTCACAGGACGGCCTGCATCCTGAAGTGTGGATGTTAACCCTCGTATTCGGAGGATGAGGTCCTTATTTTCCCCTGATCCAAATGCAATCCCGTCGAGAGCAGACCTGGAATCGCAGCAGACAAGCAAGGGACAGAAACCATCTTCTTCTTCCTCAGCGAGAAGGGCAGCATGGAGGGCTATTAGTTCAGCCTGAGTGGAGGATGCCCCGTCAGAAACCGTACTATACTTTATTTGGCTAATTATGTTGGGCTCTTGACCCACACGTTATACAGTACAGCCTTCAACGAGAGAGAGAGAGAGAGAGAGAGAGAGTCTGGATAGGTATAATGATCAGTGTTGTGGTACAATGGACACGTTTTCGTTAACCTGTTCCCATTATATATTTAGAAAACCATAAACAAATTTGGAAAATAAGTTTTATTGACCAAACCAAAACACGCATGCAGAGTTTAGAGAACACAAGCGGCCCACTGACTACACTACGCTCTATGGTTTGTTTGTATCTCACGCGTCATTACCACCCTCCTCTAGATCTGTCATTACCACCCTCCACTCGATCTATTCCTTATGAATAAAATGCGGCGTCACGAACCATATAGTGAACACACCCAGGGCATATGCTCAGGTATCCACAACCAGACAGGTTTATAGTTAGGCTGTTGCTAAAATATGAATCGACTGTATTTATTCCTAGAGTTGACTGTGACATAACCAGAAAACAGAGTAACCTAACCTAACATCTATGTTTTTTGTGTGCAGGTTGGTTTGGTAGGTTCGTGTCCTCTGTACTGCAACAAGGAAAAAGTCCTCCCCATGAAGAAGTAAAAAGGTGATTTTCCTGGTTCCAACATCGTCTTTTTCTTGTCCACTTCCCAGATTTGTAATACATGTTACAACAGCGGATCCCAGAACGTGACTCAAGTGTATACCATTAGAAAAGTATGTACATTTCGCGCGAAACAATCTGACACAGCACTATGGATATTGCAAAATGCCATATATCGCCTCGTGTGTAGAGGTAGAAAGTGGAGGGGAGGAGGGGAGAGGAGGGGATATTTCCTAATAAAATACTATCATCGATTTTATCTTTACTTATGAGTCTTCTCTCACTTATAGTATGTACTGTACGAATGACCGAGATACAGGGAGTTCGAGAATAGAGGGTAAATGTTGCAGAGAAGATAGTGAGTGCGTGTTACAAGACTATAGTGTGGAAACAGAAACAACATTACACACAGTTCCTCAGATCCCCAACTTGTATACACAGTAGATACAGTGACTCCTTAATACAACACATCATTAGGGTACAGTCGTCCTCAAGAGCCATGAGAAGAGGAAGAGTGTTTCCCTAAACGGTGGCTTATTTGACACACCAGTTGTACCAGGTATTGTAAAATGTTGTTGAAAGCAATCAGACGAGTTGATTGTAAAAGCTTTTGATTAGATAGACAACTGCTGATTACTGACTGACTGACACACACACACACACACATGTAATGATTGCTTTATCCCGTCTGGACAATGGCACCTTTACAACGACCACCACCATGAGAACTAGTCATCACCAGGGGGCACCGCCGTTCTCTATATATAACCACCACACACTTGGCTGCCTTTACCACCTCACCCTCCCTCACGCTGTTCCTGCACCTTACACACACAACACTCTACGACATAACAACTTCTGTATAATAATCTAAAACATCCTCAGTGTGCGTCACCCGAGAAGTCCCCATAACCTCCGGGGATAAATGAGGCTTTTGGGCGAGATATTAAAGGTGGAGGCGCTCCATGACTACTGGCAGTCCACACCACCAGAAGGCTCCACTCAGACCTGTTACTGAGCTTCCTCCCCTGCAACACTAAATCTACCGTTGCTAGGGGGAAGAGAGGAGGAGGGGGAAGTCTCACTCACACACAACACGAATCCATATCCCTAACTCACGTCAATTTACACGTGTTGGCAAACTCCGACATGTGACCATCTTTGTCAATCACAGGAAACATCGACAGGCCAACATATCTATTATTGGGGATATGTCTGTAATTTCGTAATAACTTATAACCACAGACACGCATCTCTCTCGAGGAAATGTATCTGCTTCGTAAAAATGACATAAAATCAATTTGAAAGCGAAAGACCAGCTTATAGGCCTACAAACAACACACCTCCCTCCTCCCTGCCTCGTCGGTAACCTGGTATGTCTTAAACAATACACCAATACAGTATAACCATCAGAAAGTGTCCAGGGTAGTGGTGCGTCAACACCCAGGGATACACCTACAACAATACTACTATCCATATACAGTGACAATGTAACTATTCTGGCAGCAACTAAAATCAACAGTTAAGAGAACATAAACGTATTGGTTATTACGCTACTCTACGGCCTAAAGTGTAACAATTAAAAACCCAGAAACAACTTAGTTCCGCCAGGCATCATTCCTTGTTGCTCTCAAACCTTCACCCAAACCTTGATGTCGATAATAAGACTCGGTAAATATACTGTAACTGAAGTCATGATAAGATACAAAAACATTACTGTAGTGCGACATTGTTATTATTATTGTGTGTTTATATGTGTCAACAACAAAGGTTTCTGAGCAGGTAAGCATGGTTGGTTCATACAATAAATTATTTAAATTTGGGGGAAATCTGTTTTTTAACGATAAAGTTAAATTAATTATCTCTACATGTCTTGAGTTTGACGTGTGAAGCAGGATGTGACGTGTCGAGTAGATAAATATGTCTTGTGAGTGTTAATACAGGCCAAAACAAGAGAGAGCCCTCTCCTTTGACACAACTCTGTCCTTCTTAAATGTAATATATAATACTATATATATATATATATATATATATATATATATATATATATATATATATATATATATATATATATATATATATATATATACACACAGCTGGTTGGCGAGAGCATGAACTTACACAATGAGTTACCGGACACTAGTAGTCGATGATGAACGTCTCTCAGGTTCTAAGAGAGTGTGTGGGTGTGTTACATCAAGTGTCCAGCCCAAGTGGATTAGTTCCCAGCAGTGTGTGACAGCTAAGACAAGCCTTCAGCGGCGCGTAAAAGCAATTTAGTCGGTTAAGCTTGCAGAAGAGCGTGAGCGTCTTAAGCGATAGGCACGGTAAGGGTAGCAGGCGCACCCGGGCTCACTCCTGTTCACAACTCCACACCGAACTAACTGACGGACTACTGGTGAGGGAGCCGTCGGTCGGGCTCGCGCAAGTCGCCGCACCTCAGTGCCCACGCCTGCCACACACCACCCCCACAACCGGCTCCATCATCCACTCAGTAGAAATCATCAGTTATCGCTTTATCATCCTTTGTGGTCGATAGATAGGAGTGGTGGCTACAGAAACGTGTCTATACTGTACAATGAGTGAGAAAAGAGTTAGTGGCAGTGTTGATTTGTACGACAACTAGCATTGTTTAAGTTGGTGAGCTCGTAATCAGCCTTTGGGTAGCTGGAAGCGAGACCGGGGATTACCTTACCGGGTTTCACAATGCTGGCAACACCCACCAAGTGGCGCTATCAGGGCCCAAAGCACCTATAGGCTAATGTTGACTTTCTTCAAGTGGCCCTGCGAGCATCACGAACAGTTGCCGCACCACACCACTCTTAAATTACCATCGGCCCTGTCCGGCTTTCACACGCCACCACCAGCAGCTTCAAACATGGACCTAAGATGTTCCTTCAGCTATAAACTTTACCATAACACAACTGATGTTTCTAAACCTGGCTATAAAGGAAGTGTTCTTGGATCACCTCAATATTACCCCCCACCCCCAACTTGATTAAACACACTAACGCTACCAGGGGAGGGGGGTAGGTCAAGTTACCGTAATTGTAGTTTAAATAATAAAGGTGATAAAGACTCTAGGGGTAGAACTGAGGCAAAATTCCAAACTCCACTATCTATTTTGCTTGATATATTCTCTCAAAGTTGAACACAGAGAAGTTTCCTGTAACAATTGTGTTTACTGACAGAAACCTTAAAGTACCGTGACGCGTCAAACACATCACCTGTGGTTACAACAAGAGTTACTGTGTTGAGCAAACTATGACGAATGGGGATGGATTGACTGATACACAGGTAGAAGCAGGCAGAGAGACTTACAGACAAATAAATCAAACAAAGAGACAGACAGATAGATAAATAGAAACATACGAATATATAGACATACAGATAAATAGACAGATATATAGATAGATTTGATAAATTAGAATGAGATATAAATACAGATCATGTATATAAATACTGTAAGTGTATAGATATATAGACAGGAACGAAAAATAAACATATATGTATTGTATAAGTAGAAGTTCCATAAAAGTTAACACTGATTCGTCTGTAGGCTTAGAATAATGGGAATCAGAAAGTTAACCTAACCAAGAATACAGTTAACCCTTTGACGACGATGGATTAACACTTTGAAAATGATGGTTGTTTAACCCCCCCACCCCCGCCTTACCTTGTCACACACACACACACACACACTGTACGTGAGTAAAAGTAACTTTCTCCCCGCCGCCACGTGTCACTCTGAAGGTTCCCAAGCATAACGATTTTTCATCCAGATTATTCATAATATTTAATGCGCTGACCCCCCTCCCCCCCGTGAATAGAAATATGTGAAGGTATCTAACTCTCTTCACTTAGCTACAGCACGAAGATGGTTTCCTGGAAGTTCGTAGATTTTCATAAAGTTGCGACGCATTTATCTTGGTAACCTAAACTATGTGTCAAAAGATGGATTCATAGGGGTTCGTCTGTTAACCTTTCCTCATAACTGATGTAAGAATGGTAGGCTAAGTGGCTCACGTCTCCAGAACACTGCGACATACTAGGACAATTTTTCAAGAGGTTCGTCCTACAGATTTTCCTCCAATTATACTGTAAGTTAAGTAACAACATATCTTAATTGGCTCATCTAACTAACGACACATACTGAGTACGATATATGCCGGCCAGTAACTCGCTGCCAGTACAGTAACCAAGGACACGTCTTAATCCTAATGAGAGAGAAAGCATCACAATCATCACGGGACGAATGCTTAGAAATCAAACTCTCAATACATAACACATTATATTCACACTAAGCTTTCCCCCACTACCACCTCTATAATGAGGGTGTCAGCGGCATCTTGTGTTGGTGTCAGCAAAGTGTCTCTCTCTCTCTCTCTCTCTCTCTCTCTCTCTCTCTCTCTCTCTCTCTCTCTCTCGGCGGATTTCATTTTAAGACTCAAAACAAATTCACGAATTTTTTTTTTTATGAAACTTAACAAGCATGGCTGTCAGTACCGAGACCTTGTATGGTTTCAGCCTTGAGGGTGACCACACGACTATATAATCGACTTTCACTTGGACATGAGAGACTCCTGAGGGTTGTCTTTCCTATTTTCCTCCTGTCGTTCCTTCACAGTTTCAAAACCTCGTCCAGCAGTCCCAGATTACGTCACACTAAGGCGGTACTTTGCTCCACAATGGTTCACCACCAGACCAACCCCGCCCAGGAAAAAAAAGATCGTTCATTGTATTAAGAGAGAGGCCAGGTGCCGACTATAATGGGCACTGTTTCTGTACCTACGACCCTTACCAAGCCAATACGAGTAGTTACGGTGTTGTTCTTACGGTCACATAACATAACCCCTCCAGGTACCCATTAACTATGTACCGATACTTGACACACACCGATTTTTTGAGATTTTTTTTTTTTTACTCTGAAACAAAAAAATTCTTGTGGAAGAGGTACGCATCTTTCTTATTAAACCATTGTCCTCAACTGGGTTAAACCAGTCTTGAAGGGGATAAAACATTGACCTCTAAAGACTAATATACAAACCATGGTCTTGAAAATAAAATGACAGCAAAAACAGTAAACCGGCAGCCTAGGTGGAGCCAGCTGGTGTGACGATGACATCCTGGCTCAGTAAGGGAAACCCAGGACCTTGGTCAACACCACCTGAGTCTTCCCTCCAATCCTGCGTCTACTTTCAACATAATTCCCTCCACCCCTGCCAACACCACGTCTACTCCACCCTACGACCACCACTCCCTACCTAACACAATCCAGCCCCACGCCCCGCCTCCCAACGGCATGCCACGCCCAGCCTCCCCACGTCATGCCACGCCCCGCCTCCCCACGTCATACCACGCCCCGCGCTACGCCATTCCCCGCCTCCCCACGCTACGCCACTCCCCGCCTCCCCACGCTACGCTACGCACCCGCCTCCCCACGCCTCCCGCCACCCCGCCTCCCGTCGCCATGCCTCCCCGCCTCCCCACGCTACGCCCCCGCCTCCCCACTTCACGCTACCTTGCCTCCCACGCTGTCCCGCCTCCCCACACGCCCCGCCTCCACGCCATGCCCCGCCTCCCCATGCTACACCCAGTCTCCCGTTGAGTCTCCATTTAATTTGACGTCATTTTGAATATTTTTGTATTTCCCATCAAGTGAGCCAATTAGGTAGGTTCTTTTATGTCCAGATATATATGACGAGAATTCAGCATAACTCTTTGAGAATCCATCTTAGTGTCGTAGGTCAAGTGGGCCAGTTAGGTGTGTTCTCATAACTCCGGTTTTAAGACCACGTCAACCTATGAACACTCCAGAATCCGGGTCCCGGACACTTAAGTGGTATGAGGAGAAAGGCGACGGTGAGTCAGAAACACAGTCAGTTAAGAACACACACACACACACACACACACACACACACACACACACACACACACGAGCGCGCTCATGACGTCACAGCATAACAGAACACGTCTGAAGACAAACATATACAAATTTTCCTGCAGCTGGTGGGGTTCGAAAAGGTTAAGTTAGGTTACATTAACTTTATCCAGATTAAGGTAGTTTATGTTAATTTTATCCAGGTAGAGGTAGATTGAATTAGGTTATATAACATTCACTTTAACTTGGATTACATTACATTAATTTTACTTAAGTTTAGGTTTGTAGTTAAGTAGTTTAAACTAAGTCAAATAAGATTAAGTCAAGATACACTAGTGCTGATTTTCCGACTATCTGTTCAAGAGGAAAAACTCACTGGCCGTAACGATGTATCGAACGGGGAAAGTCTGTATCCAGCCTAAACTTTTCCTGAAACCGAGTGAACGTATCCCCCCATCCCCCACGTCACCCCCACCCCACACGTCACCACCCATCCCTCCACGTCACACCCATCCCCCACCTCACCATCCATCCCACCACGTCACCCCATCCCCCACCTCACCATCCATCCCTCCACGTCACACCCCATCCCCCACCACCATCCATCCCTCCACGTCACACCCATCCCCCACCACGTCACACCATCCCCACCACGTCACCCCCACTCCCCACACGTTACCATCCATCCCACCACGTCACACCCATCCCCACCTCACCATCCATCCCACCACGTCACACCCAACCCCCACCTCACCATCCATCCCTCCACGTCACACCCATCCCCCACCTCACCATCCACCCCACCACGTCACCCCATCCCACCTCACCATCCATCCCACCACGTCACACCCATCCCCCACCTCACCATCCATCCCACCACGTCACACCCATCCCCACCTCACCATCCATCCCACCACGTCACACCCATCCCCCACCTCACCATCCATCCCCACCACGTCACACCCAACCCCCACCTCACCACCCATCCTGTAATTAATGTGTCACACCCATCCCCCACCTCACCACCCATCCCAACATCACCCACCCATCCCTCCGCCTCCCCTCACTACGGGAAATTCCTATCTGACGTCATTCGTGCTCGAAACAAATTTTCCTTCGACAATTAATTAAATCTTACACGAACACAATACATTTTTATAGCAAAATAAACATCTATACGACCAAGGAATAAATTTTCACTAACTATAAATGTTTTTTCACGAACGTACAATAAATCTTTACTGACGAAAATTACACTTTTACGAACGTACAAAATTTACAAATGAAAAATACTAACACCTTAACCAACCTACACGAAACTTAAATTTGTACGAGAGAGAGAGAGAGAGAGAGAGAGAGAGAGAGAGAGAGAGAGAGAGTTTAATACCATCATCAGTTTTAGAAGCCTGTCTTATGGCATCATGTAGTACAAAATACTTTCTACGCCACAATCATACCTGTGTTGGCTCACCTACGAAACGTAAGTATGGCTGCGTGACAGATGTATACCATTATGACACACCT